CAATAAAGTTGCTTCTTCCCCAATAAACCTTGACATTAAAACATCAGAAAACGCTGTAGTTCCTCTAAGGCCTTCCTCTGAGTCATGCGTAAGATCAAATGGTAAGACAATTGAAGAGGTCAAGGAAATAGACATCTTTGATGAGGCTCCAGTTTGTGATATAAGTGTTGGAACTGATGATTCGATAGCTGATGCAGAAGAGAATAATCTAGATGATGTTAAGTCGAGTGCTTATCAAAAGGTTGACGAACTGGAACTCAGGATTGAGAAGCTTGAAGAGGAGCTTAGGGAAGTTGCTGCCCTTGAGATTTCCCTTTATTCTTTTGTACCAGAACATGGAAGCTCAGAACATAAAGTCCATACCCCTGCTCGGCGTCTTGCTAGACTTTATATTCATGCCTGCAAGCATTGGAGTCAGGATAAGTTGGCAACTGTTGCCAAGAACACAGTTTCAGGGCTTGTTCTTATTGCCAAATCATGTGGTAATGACGTTCCAAGGTAATGAGGCTGTTATCACCTCAATTTTAGAGCCTATTATTGTATTTTTTCTACTTGGCATTGCAAGTATTCCTCTCATGTTGCAGGTTGACATTTTGGTTATCAAACACAGTTGTTATAAGAGAGATTATTTGTCAAACTTACGGCAGTTTGACTACATCAAGTGTGGTTATAAGGCCTTTAGATTCAAGCTGCTGTGCTGTGAAGTCCGGAAGTGGGTTACAAAAGTTTAAAAATAACTCTGTAGGTAAACAAGGAAAGATGCATGGATTTGTCCAAATAGATGACTGGCAGGAGCCCAGCACATTTATCGCCGCACTAGAGAAACTTGAGTCTTGGATATTCTCCAGAACAGTTGAATCAGTTTGGTGGCAGGTAAACTGCAAATAATGAACATTTACCATCCTCAAGCTTTTTTTTTTCCACTTGAGGAACACGCATTTTATTAAATAATCTTTATCATCCTGTGATTGATTTAAGTAACATAAAATTTTTTAATAATGCCTCATCTAAATGGGATGTTTCATAGTAACCAATCTTATATCTAACCTGAACTGAAATCTCATTATTACTTTTTTTATATCTTCCGTGGTTGTGTTTCCAGGCCTTGACTCCACACATGCAGTCTCCGGTTGAGGACTTATACAATCATAAAAGCATTGGCAAACTGTTTGGACCTTCTCTGGGTGATCCTAAACAACGGAACTTTTCTGTGAACTTATGGAGAAGTGCTTTTCATGATGCATTATCCAGGCTCTGCCCGGTTCGATCAGGAGGGCATGAGTGTGGTTGCTTGCCTGTGCTAGCAAGATTGGTATGTGCTGGAAAAAAAAAGGCCGTTTCTTGTGTTTTTTTAAGAATTTTGTCATGTTTTGGTTTTAAATGCCTGGTTTTTGTTCACTATTTTGTAGATATGTAAACAGTGCAAATGAGTAGCCTTTCCATTAATAGTGCTGTATCATGTAGCTTAATGGATATATGAACTATAGCATGCTATGCTCTTCTCAATAGGACGTTACATGAAGAGTGAAAATGCCTTATTATGTTCTTTCATCTTTTTTATTTTCTTTTATTCTCTCTTTTATTTTCTTTTATTCATTTATTTATTTTTATTTTTTTGCTATTTATCTGAGATCTCTTATTAATGTTGCTGCTTCTATCTAAGGCTTCATTTGGACGGCTTTTTTACTGCTTCATGAAGCTAACTTTTTAGTATAAAAATTAAAATTTTTATACTAGAAAACTATTTCATGAAGCACTACAAAAGCCATCCCAAACAAAGCTTAATTGAGACAATGCCCATATATTAGTGGTTGAAGAATTAGCAGCATCAATTATATCCAAACATTCTGTTTTTTTTTTTCCATTTAGTATGTTTCACTAATCAATTCCTTAAATATTTTAATTAGGTTATGGAACAGTGTGTGCGCAGATTAGATGTTGCAATGTTTAATGCCATTTTGAGGGAATCGGCAAATGAGATGCCGACTGACCCTATCTTAGATCCTATTGTAGATTCAAAGGTACTCCCAATACCAGCTGGAAGTTTGAGCTTTGGTTCTGGTGCTCAGCTAAAAAATGCGGTAAGCTATCTGCCAAATTAATAAGCTTGTAAACTGAAGATGGATCTAGTTTAACAATGTTCATGAATGAAGAAACTCCAAAATTTACAATAAAAATCCTTTAAAATTTTGTGCTTTGCCTTCCTGCAATTGCATCTATCGTATTATTTCACAATCTTTAAGATGCTACCAATTAATTTGTAATAATCTTTGTTTATAAATCCTTAGAATCTGGAAAGTGTATTCGGCATTCTAAGCAGTTGGTTCCTACATGTGAGCCCACAGTGGAAAGCACTAAGTGCAGCCCAGGAATGCCTATGGGTTGCGAATTTTGACTTGGTTGAACTGCATATTCTGTGAGGGTGTAAGATTTTACCTACTTTATCGCATGCCACAGATGTTAGTCTGAAAGTTCAAGCATTGTCACCTATGTTGCACCGATACACCTATTTATGAAGGCATGTTGTATCCGATAGACCGATACACGGATATGCCTCCAATATGGCACCAATACGTGTTGGATACGCCAAAGCCGTATCCAATTAAAATACTATTTAATTTTAAAAGGAGACGTGTATCCCATATGTGTGTCCGTTGAAAATAAAAAAAAAAAGTTGAAAAAAAGATGCGTCGTATTTACTTCCGCTGCTCCGAGCGAGATTCTATCATTTCCGAGATAGATTTTGATATTATAAGCTACAAGGCTACAAATGATGTTGCTTTTATTTTTAATTTTTTTGTAATTTCAAATATTATGCTTTGATTGCTTTCTTAATTTTTATGTATGATTTATAAATTATAATGTCGTGTCCGCGCCATACTCGTTTTCTGTATTTTTAAAAATTGACGTCTCATATCCGTATAGTATCGTATCTGTGTCACCATATCCATATCTGTGCAAGATAGATTGTCACCAAATGCAACCTATCTTGTTCCTAAAATGGATTATAACGTATAGAAGTACTCTATTCCAGGAATTGTAATTTCTATTGTTATTCTAAGCTTCTATTTACATAGAATTTAATAGTATGATTCTTTCAACGGTTATTTTTAATTTTTTATTGCGGCATGAATTCCGAATTTGTGTATTTCAAAACTTAAATTGGTTGCAACAGACTGGTAGCTGGGCTAGATGGCTGGAAGAGTTGTTGGCTATGAATTTTGACAATGCTGGAAAGAAAGATGTTTATAAGGATGACGATCGTAGGGGAGATGATACTGGCTTTAAATGTTTTTGTCTTCTGAATGAGTTGAGCGACCTCCTCATGCTTCCTAAAGATTTGCTCCTTGACAAGGCTATCAGGACTGAGGTAATATTCTGGAGACACCTTGTGATATGGTTATTAGCAAGATCTGTAGGGACAAACTAGATAACGATGATTTCTGCTTCAGTTTTGTTCTAGCTTATTTGTTTTGTTTTTTTTTTTGTTTTTTTCCTTTTTTTTTTTCTTTTCAAGGTGTGCCCATCTATTGGGTTGACTATAATAACACGGATTTTGTGCAATTTTACACCGGATGAGTTCTGTCCAGAGCCGGTGCCAAGCATTATACTGGAAGAGTTAAATTCTGAGGTATGGCTTAACTGGATTTAATTGGTACCTATTGTTTTCCAAACTGTTAGTCATTAACCATATTTATTCCAGATTTAAATCTTTTATTTCAATTTAACTTCTTCACTTAGTTTATCATGATCATGTCTGCACGTCATTAGATGAATTCCATTCAGCCCGAATTCTTAAAATCTTCTTGAAAACAGCTAAATGCTGTGATTGTAAGACAATATGGATAATTCCTATTGCTATTCGATTTTAAAACAATGGTTCAAGGACCATCAATTATCAAGAGAAAAAGCAGAAACATACAATTGTTATTAATCATTAGATTTATCTAGAGATGAAATCTCAAAATAATTATGACTATTAATGTGTAACAAATTAGTTCTAAAATATCATATTTCTTTATTCTATCCTCTCAAACATAAAAAATATATCTAAAATAATCACTCATGAAGAAATTATTATATAAAATTGATCTTAATCTAGTCCTACTACTATATAAAATTAATCTAAATTTAGTTCCAATATATAGTGCAGGGATTAAATTGAAGAAATATAATATTCTATGATTAAATTAACTATATACAAATATTCAGGAGACTGTTTTGGAGTTTAACTCAAGCCTCGTTTGATTTGACTTTTTCTTGCTCTCTCTGTTTAGAAACGACAAATATTTTTTTAGGTGTTGTTTGTTTGTGGCACTTCTGCATAAATACTTTTTAGGGAACTATATTTTGTACTGTTTTCAAAAGCTCTATGATATTTATTTTTCCGTTAAAAAATTTCGTTCTCTCAAACAATAATTTAAAAACTACAATTTAGAAAAAGTAGAAGATAACCAAACGAAGCCTTATTTATCTATCATGAAAACACATTCTAGAGTGTGAAGTCAAATTCTCTGAAGTACAATAAATGTCCCATCTCCACTGCAGAGTCTCATCGAGCGCAGGCTATCAGAAAAGGAACAGATCTATATTTTCCCACGCACTTCATCTCAAGTTGCGTACTCTCCCATATCTCTTCCTGATTCTATTGACAAGTTGGTAGATGCAGACAGCAAATCACCAAAACTGCAGAGAAATGCATCAATGGTGATGAGAAAGGGCTACACCAGTGATGAAGACTTGGACGATCTTGATGATCCCCTCACCTCTTTCGTCGACCCAACTCCTCCGGTCTCCCCAGCAGTAGCAGGAAACAAAATATTGCATAAGCAGACCTCTGCATCAAACCTCAGGTACAATCTACTGCGTGAGGTCTGGTGCGATTGAGCTGCTTTTATCCTCTCGTCTGTACTATATACCATGATAAGGGAAAATTATTAGGTTCGGATATTTGACAAAGAGAATCATCAATATTTTTTTCTGTCTATAATAAAAGTATAGTTACTATAGCAACTGTGTTTTTACTATAGATAGAGAGAAATCTAGATGATTCTCTCTGTTAGCTGTCCGGACCTAATAATTTGCCTATGATAAGACCCCTTCATGAAAGATTTCATTCCAGGTGCTCAGCAATGTTGGAGAACTAGAATTGTTTTCCAATATTTTTTTAAATGGTAAGGAGAGAGTTTTTAGTTTCCAATTTATATGGAATTTATACTTGTATTATGGCATGTTGAGATGTCCTTCAAAGAGTTAAGCCCAAAATGCGGAGTTATAAGCTGTTCTAAATTTGTGTCTGTGATGTTTGAGAACTGTAAACGAAGCTATAAACCAATGTAAAATGAAATAATTTTTATTTAGCTTTTTAGTTTGTGAAGCATTTGTCAAAATTCTACAGCTGCAGGAGATTTTTGTACTATAAAATCGAATTGTAGTATTTGGTGCTGCTACATTGCAGAAGGAATAGTAGGGCTAATCTAAGGAATAGATGATTTAGAGGTCAATCAAAATGTGCCATGTTATTTAATATATAATATCAATACATATCAAAAAAATGATGTGGCACATTCTGATTGATCTTTAAATGTCGTCCGGTGTCTGCGAATAATTTTTCTTTTAACGGCTGGTTCTTTTAAATATAACCCACAAATTTCTCCTTCAAAAGAGGTCTTTTGTTCCTCTAGCTGAGTGATTTGTACTTCAACCTGAGCACTAGGGTTGCAAGAGAACCAAACGTTCGACGAGCAACTCGTTGTTCGGTTCGATTAAAACTCGTTTGTGATCGTTTAATTAAGTAAACAAACAAACTTGAATAATATTTTAAATACTCGATTCTTAAATAAACAAATTTGAACACTAATGCGTTCGGCTCATTTATGTTTGCGAACAACATAATTTAAAGTTTGTGAACAAGTTCGACATTAAGCTAATAAGAAGCTCGATAAAAGTTCGATTCGTGTTCGATTTTGAACTCGTTAATAAGCTCGATAAAAATAATTTATATTTGACTATAAAATTAATAAATATAAATAATCATTGTGTTTGTTACATAGATAATTGTTTTTATTATAAATGTGTTTGTTCATAGATATGTTCATGAACGTGTTTGTTTGATAGTTAAAAAAAATTCGTTAAATATATTCGCAAACAAGCTCGATAAGCACTAAACGAATGAACATGAACACACATTAATTTAAATGAACCAAACATGAACACAAATAATAAAGCTCGAATAAACATGAACCAAATTTAAACAAGCTGATATTAAATGAACACAAACATGACCTCTCACATACTCCGCTCAGCTCGATTCGTTTGCAGCCCTACTGAGCACTCACCTTCACAAATTGTAGGGGCTATAGCTGTGTAAAACTATAGTTGTAGAATTATTGTGAAACAAGCAAATTGAAATATATATATATATATATATAATTTATATGTTTTCTTAATTTTATGAAAAAAGTACATAATTGTTTTTTTTTTTTGTTGATCATAAATTTGAATTGTAGTTGTCTTACCAATATGCTTCAGATGAACTCTTGGTACATTGAAGGTGAGATAAATATTATTTTGTTAGAACTAATTTATTAAAATAGTCAGTATTTGTAATATATTTTATAAATAGTTTTTTTAGATTTTACTAAATATTAAATTATCAGGAATCAATTAGTATTTATCATATTGAAATTTCATCAATAATTAGATTTACATTATATTTTTTGTAGAGGTCATTAAAATTAATTTATAATCATTAAAGCATATCATAATTTTTTTATTCAATTTTATCATTAAGATTAATTAACTATGGAATATAACAATAAAAGATAATAATATATAAATTATAAGATTTATTCATACTTGTTAACGGCGAATGGTGCACCATTTAACGACGAATGGTGCACCATGGCGCAAGGTCCCTTTGGAGCCATGACGCATAGTGCACGCCATTTTAAACATGGCGCAAACTATATAAGAATCGCACGGCGCGGCGCACGCCATTTTGAACATGACGCAAACTATATAAGAATTGTAAAATAATAAGCATGAATATGAAATAATATTGTCCAAAATAACATAAACTTTACATTTCACAACAATATTGTCCAAGAGATAAGAAATCACATTTAAAGTCCTCACCCCTTCCTCCTCTCCTATAGAGTCCAATGTCTCTCAATCAAAGCATGCACTCATTAAGATAACTTATACAAAGCATGCACTCATGAAGAAGCAGATTAACACTAACAACTATTACTAAAGATGATGAATACAATAATATGTCAGGTTGCCGGGGGTCCAAGGGGGTGCTGCCCCCTGGCGGGGTTCGACCTGTCAGGAAAGATACCTAGTGGTACCAAGCATGTGCATAGCGGTACTGAGCATGTACCTAGTGGTACAAAGTATTATTATTATTATTATTATTTTAAGAGGTGGACGTCACATTTAAACAATTTGGGGCACTATTTTGCACCGTGCGCCATGCGTCATGGCTCACATGTGGCGCAAATAGTACGTGCTATTTTAAACACATGCACCTCGCCATGAACATGGCGCCCTAGGCGTGCCGCATAGCGTTGAGCGTCATGGTGCGCGCTATTTTCCGCCATTGACAACTATGGATTTATTAGAGCATTATTTTGAAATTAATTTTTCATTTTTTTTTTATTTTAAAAACTGGATCATTACCAATAAGTATTGTCTAATTAGTAGTTAATTTCATTAATTTAAAAAAAAAATGTAAACTTCTAGTAGTTAGAAAATTAACGGTGATTAATAAATTAATCAGTAAAATAGTGGTGGAGGTAGGTGGGGGCACAAATTATTGATTTTAAAAAATCTCAACCATCTTTTCACCAATGCTTAGGTTTAGCATTGGCGATTTAGAAATTTTTTTTAGATTTGTTATTATAAAATGATAAATTGTATGGTAAAAAATAGCCAACAATTAAGAGTATATACTTTATAATTAATCTTGTTGTAAATAACTTTCAATTCATTTTAAGATATATTTTTTTTTAATTTACAAATTAATAATACTTATTTTATTTTTAGTAGCTCTGAATTAAAATTATGTATACCAATTTAAAAATAATAACATTTATATATTTATTTTATTTGTTAGTAAATCTCATTTATTATTACATTATTAATATTCATATATAATTCATCTACTAATTCTAAATTAATTTTTAAAAAAATTATCCATAAATTAATTTCAAATTAAAATAATTATTGACATGTCATCAAAAAATTATCTTAATCGGGCATGAATCTATATGCAAAATCAAGTTGGAACTTTCAAAATTAAAATTGGGACCATCCGAACTCCGATTTCAGCAAACTTATAGTCGAAATGTGAGTCTCGAGAATACAAACCTAACGACACCAAATCCAACCCAATTCGAGCCCAAATGGGTCCAAATCAAGGGGTTAGAAGCGTTGTTGGAAGATTCGAACCACAGTTTGGATTACCAAATGATTTTCAAACATAATGTGCTTATGGTCGAATCCAACGAGCTCAAGATCACCGAATTCCGACATTACTAAGAGATTCAAATGTCCATCAAACGATCCATGATCAAGGGATTAAATATCGGCCGTCCATCTAACCACTCCCCATTTACCCTTGATCTATCACTTATTTACGGGCCATGCCACACCAAAAATCTATAAATATACCCATCATTTCTCTTGAAGGAAGAAGCTCCTCCTCGACCACCGCCTGAGTTCTGCCGGATAATCGCTTGTTGTCGTTGCTTCATCGGACCACCACCTTAGGCCCTCATCTTCGCCGGACCATCACCTTTGCGGGACCACCACCTGAGGCTCTCACTCTCTCCGGACCACCACCTGAGGCCCTCACCTCCACCGGACCACCGCCTGACATCGTTGCTCCGCCGGACCACCACCTGAGGCTCTCACCCTCGTCGAACCACCACCTGAGGCCCTCACCTCCGCCGGACCACCGCCTGACATCGTTGCACCGCCAAACCACCATTTGAGGCCTTGAGCTCCATGGGTCCATCACTTGAGGCCCGGACTTCTGCCAGACTACCACCTGAGTAGGGCTGCAAGCGAACCAAACGTTCGACGAGCTACTCGTTGTTCGGTTCAATTAAAGCTCATTTGTGATCGTTTAATTAACTAAACAAACAAACTTGAACAATATTTTAAATACTCAATTCTTAAATAAACAAACTTGAACACTAATGTGTTCGGCTCATTTATGTTCGCGAACAACATCATTTGAAGTTCGTGAACAAGCTTGACATTAAGCTCGATAAGAAGCTCGATTCGTGTTCGATTTTGAACTCGTGAATAAGCTCGATACAAATAATTAATATTTGACTATATACTTAATAAATATAAATAATTATTGCCTTTGTTACATAGACAATTGCTTTTATTATAAATGTGTTAATTTGTTCATAAATATGTTCATGAACGTGTTTGTTTGATAGTTAGAAAAAATTGTTAAATATGTTCATGAACAAGCTCGATAAACATTAAACAAACGAACGTGAACTGAACATGAACACTCATTAATTTAAATGAACCAAACTTGAACACAAACAATAAAGCTCGAACAAACATGAACCAAACTTGAACAAGCTGATATTAAATAAACACAAACATGAACACTCACATACTCGGCTCGGTTCGGTTCGTTTGCAGCCCTACACCTGAGGCCTGAACTTCCACCGAACCACCAGATGAGGCCCTGGTTTCTATCGGACAACCATCTGTGACCTAGTCTTCTCCTAGACTTCCATATGACGCCCAGACTTCTACCGAACCACCACCTGAGGCCTAGACTTCTTTCGGACCACCACCTGAGGCATGGACTTCTTCCGGACCACCACCTGAGGCTCAAACTTCTGTCGGACCACCGCCTGATGCCTGGAGTTCTACTAAAGTGCCACCATACTACTATGGTCTTTCGGACCCTTATCTCCTACCGA